GGACGATTAAAACAATAATAAATTTAAATGAAATTAAGCATTTTGGTAATGGTAAAGTAATTTCAGGATGGATGGAAGTAATCGGCAAGAAGCCTTGCCTGACCTAAGTTTGGTGCTGGTTGACATTCACCAGTCAGCAAGGCGTATCTGCAACTGCCTTGAAGGAACTCATCTCCCTTCTGAGATTCGAACCCGCGTCACCCAGTGAACACTGCAGTCACAGACTTTACCACTGAGCTGTTTGGGTTCAGTGATTCAAGCAGGCCGCTTAGGAGTGATATTAAATGATTATTTATTTCAGATATACTTATGTGCTTTCTTATAATTAAATTACTAATTAGAATAAACTTGTATGTATCGTTTGCAGTAACATACAGGATGGTAATCACATTACTATGTGTAGATTACTTACATCATAATTAGTAGAGTCATCCTGTCATCCATTAATGCAATATACACTATTATAATTTTATTATTACTGTGTAAGGTGAAGTTAATTTACAATACAAGATGGAAATTGACACCAGTTATAGAATCAGTGAATACCAAAATGAACAAAAGTGACTGGAATACATAACTACTAGACTCATTTAGGTAAATACATCTATCGAGCAATGATACAATACAGACATCAATTGATGACAAAATCTACCCCCACAAATTTACCATCTTGTTTACACACACTTAAAAACTGTCACCGAAGTCTTTTAGGCTATGCGTTGAGGACGTAAACCACTCAGCCGCGGGGACACAATCCTGTTTCCCATGAATTTTAACTTATTCCAGCTCGTGATATGTATATATGTAGTACCATCGTCAACTAATCTCATCCATGATTTAGCAAACTTCACCAGTCATGCCTGATCACTAGAACTCCAAGAAATCTATTCCGTAGTGTTTATTTGTAGACAGTTGATTGCTTTCAAGGTATATTATTGTTGTTGGATAGCCGACATCAGTTAGTGAATCATCAACAACTACTTCCCTATAGTTTGTAGAAAACCAGACACTTGGTAAAAGAATATTTATTTGATATTTGGTATTGCTATATTACGAAATTATGTACACCTTATCTTCGACGCACCATATTTTTTTTTTACAGCTTAATTCCACACCGAATTTTTTTGGTACAAGTATGGAATCTTCAGCATATGTTATCGGTAGTCCAAATTTTGCAGGCCGACCATAGATATCAGGTGTGCGTCGGCAGAGGATCGAACTCCGGACCATGTGCATGATCGGCGATAGTCCTAACCACTGTGCCACCGACGCACCTTATCTTCGACTCATCTTCCGTGTTGTGCTACTTCTAGCCTCTATATTGTGTTTCTGTGTGTTCCTTTCACGTATTCCGTGTTTCTCTGTAACACTGTGTCATTTGCTTTCTCTGACATCAAATCCATCTCCCTGTTATTGGATGTGTTTTGTACCGATGAACGTCTCTTTATACCCGACTGATAAATCTTATCAGTAGCGGCACATGCCACAATGTTAATTTGTAATGAATTCTAACTTGATATGAATTCAACCTCCATAAGCCGAAACTTGAAACTTATTCACTTAGGTCTATTTATTAATAGAATGATTTATTCACTCATATTTATTATTATTATTATTAAGTAAGAAAGTTGCTAGTATCCAGTTTTAATTACGTCATACATCTGTTTATTCATGCATACATTCTAATGGTAATCGATTGAATAATCTATGAAAGAATTAGTCGTCAAGTTAACTATGATGACTACTACTACTGAATAATAAATAGAATTCTATGAATACTTATGTATAAGGCTTAGTTGGAGTTACCACCACCCTCCCTCTCTTCATTTTGGTTGTAATAAGAACAATTATCACATGACCTCTTATCATCCATCATTAATAATGTCAATCTAAACTACTACTCTTAATGCCATGGTCACTAAAAAATCAATCTAAAGATGACTTTCTAGTCAATGTTATCTTATTACATCATAATTTAGTAGGGAGTAAGATGGTGGTGGCATTAGGTAGGTGGTGGTGGACGGAGAGGGGTGGAGGAGGAATACATTAGTTATGGTACATAGTAAGTAAGTAATAAGCAATTATGTGTATATAAATGTTTATTGTGTACGCGCTTAACTCTTTATGGCATATTCTGATGTCTGTGGTCAGCATTAATTAAAACTGAATTTATCCTATTCACATATGTGATTCATTCATTCATTCACTCAACTATTTAAAATACCAAATGTGTGTGTGTGCGTACATGTGTCAGTTGTTTTGACTACTGGTTTTCTATGCTTGTACAGAGAACATCTAAAAATAACAATCTATTAAGAGTGATTCGTTATTTTTAGAATTTTAATCTATATCACAGTTACTAAGCCAGTTTTTCAAGATTAATGATGTATATGAAAATTTTAATATAAATATAAATGAATAACTTATTTATAGAATTGAATTGAATGAATCATAAAGTCTACCTTCTCCTTTCCTTTCTCCATAAGTATTACGTAATCACTGGAGATTAAATTTTATTTCATTGAAGGTCAGGGATTTCTATAAAACCTCGAAATTCACATAGCGATTTGTATTTCAAAAATAGTCTTAGTAACTTAGTAAAAGTCAAACTTTAAACAATTAATGAACGTCTAATATTAGTTTCGCACATGTCTGAGACTCTTCAGTTGACTGTTATTTTTTCGCAACAGACGTGTGTTACCATTCAGTTTTCTGAATGGAAAAGATAACGCTTACTTGATTAAAAATAGAGACAAAGCAGATTGGGGGGTATGAATATTTTTTTTATTTTTTATTTTTGAATACAGCTTGATTCCACACCGTATTTATGGTACAAGTATAGAGTTTTCAGCGTGGATATCGGTAGCCCAAAATTTCGCAGGCCGACTGTAGATATCAGGTGTGCGTCGGCGTGTGCTCGAACCCCGGACCATATGCATGGTCGGCGAGAGTCCTAACCACTGTGCCACCGACGCACTCATGTATAACAAAGGCTTGAGTGAAATTCTAAACCTCTAATGGATTTTATTTGTGTACGCTTGTGGTTCACTTGTAAAATCTTCGCTAAATAAACACACATGTGGTTCGGGATGGATTCCCGCCGTCGACGTAATCCTTAACTTTTGCCTAGCTAGGTGCGTACTGCCGATGATTCCCAAACTAGGATGAAACAGCAGCTGTCCAGTACTCCCTGGTTTTCAATGCTTCTCTAACTAATATCAATCCGTGATCAATTCGTAAAAGCATAACTAACCCTTACAAACCGAACAATAGAAAATTAATCTGATGCTCACTAGTGACTTGTTACAGGACGGAGTTTCCTCGAGTTCTGGTGAGAAAGCGTGACCAGTGAGGTCCAGCTAGAAGTCACATGTGTGGATGGATGTCCCACCAACGACAATGGTTGGGGTCGCACTAAATCACTAATTGGTAGAAGTTAGAATTCATGTGCTGGACATCGAATCGGGTCCCACTGGAGGCTGAATGGTATACGAGCTAGCTCGCTTTGTGACCGGAAGGTCGTGGGTTCGAATCCTTCTGTGGTGGGTGCGTACTGCCGATGATTCCCAAACTAGGATGAAACAGCAGCTGTCCATAAATCCCTGGTTTTCAATGGTTCTCCAATTGATATCAATCCATGATTAACTCGTAAAAAAATAAGCAAAGTGAAAAGAGGGAAGTTTGATTGTGAGGCAGGCAACAATGCTACTGAAGCTTCAAAGCTCAATCTTAAAGCCCAGTGTTCCACTTAGAATGAAAATGGATGAAAAAAAGGAACTGCATCTATGTCTAGTGTAACATAATTACATTTTCTGGGATTATTTACATTGGTGATTAGAAATTCGACAATAATAGCTTGTTTTCCATATGGGGTAGACACTAAATTAAGGATTGTCAGATTTACTTAAGCCATCTGTCAAATATAGGTTTAGGATGAAACGAACATTCATAACAATCAAACGAATAAACAAACAACTGGTCAAAGGATACAATGTATATATACTTTGCCATAAATGACATTACACAACTGTTATATAATCATCATATAACAGACAATTAATGAATTAATTAATCAAGGTTAGAGTTGAATGTCATTAAGGGATCAATAGGTTTAGGCCAATGGACACAAAGTTAAACTCTTATACATTATAGTGTGATAACTGTTCAATCTATATTAATCTTTTCTTAAAATCATTATAGTGATGGTGAAAGGAGATAAATGAAGCATAACAGCAAATGACGCTACGTGTAAGACTAGTAGGAATGGCATAAACACTCGACATGCAACCAATGAGTGTTGAGTTCGAATCCCATCCGCTCACTGCATTAGTAGTTTTAATTCGAATTGTTCTATGAAGTATGTTAATAATTTACATAGATAGATAAATGGGAGTAATTCGTTGTAGAATAGTGTCTTCTAGTCACCTTACAACAGTATTTTTTTACAGGGGAACATTATGACACCAATCTGTCAACTGATCCCAACACTAAACAATAATGAATTAGTTCTGAAGTGTATTGATCACGGATTGATATCAGTTAGAGAACCATTGAAAACTAGGAAGTGCTAGGCCACTGTTTCGTCCTAGCTTGGGACTCATCGGCAGTATGCACCCGCGAAACCCAGGAGCTTTAGCTTACTAGCCAAGCTCGTAGATCATCTGGCCACTGAGACCCATCAATGCGTTAGTGGCTCACTAGTACAGGGTTCGCCAACGACATGCGTAGTCTAAGGTTCCACCTCCAGTCGACGCACTCCTAAACCTCGCTAAGTCGGTAGTAAATCCGGTAAAGAGGGAAGGTTAAACGTGAGGTTAGAAACTCCATCCGTTAAAAATAAAACCACTACTACCGAAACTTCAAGCACTTTCTTGAAGTACTTTGTTCCAGCGGGGAACGTAGAGGAATAAGATAACATAATAATCATTTGAAATGTATTAGTCATGTTATTTTAGTTTTCTTTAAATTTCTTTTTCTCTCTGTTTTCTTTCTTTCTATAGAACGTGCAGAATTTTCAAATAAACTTACATTAACTGAAACACAAGTGAAAATATGGTTTCAAAATCGTCGAGCGAAAGCTAAACGCTTACAAGAGGTTGAAACAGGCAAATATCAGTTATCACCAAATGAAAATTTAGAAACCGCTTTAATTGTAGCCATGTCAACAGCTAATCAAGCATCACAATTAATAAGCAACAACAATAAAGACAATATTCTACCGCATGACTTATTGACACATGAAATAAAATCATGTCATTCTGACACAGTATCGCCTTCTTCACCAGGCACAACAATTCTTCCATCGAATCCATGTAAAACTTTTTCATTTCCACCTATCCCTCCTCCACTGCCGCCACCACCACCACCGTCTCTTGCTGGAGTTACACCATCGTCAGAGTCACCTTCTTCTGCGCCATCCTGTTATATGTGTTCCAGTAGATCTCCAAATCCTCAATGTTTACATAGACCAGTAAAACTGCCTACAAATACTAATCTACCGTCTTTTTCTAATATTCCTACCACCACTAATTCTAGTTCTACACCTTCACCATCTACGCGGGCATATTTATCTCCTAACCTTTCACATGATTATCCTTCTCATTACAATAATAATAATAAAATATATATGAATTATGAGGAACAAAATTTAGTGAATACAAGTAAAATAAAATCCTCATCATCTTCATTGTTATCACTGAAACGGTTATCATCAGAGAGTTATCAAGGTCAACCGCTTCATTACCCAATGGATTCACAAAATACTACTCATATAGATGTCAACTGCATGACTACTTTGTCGAATCCTGTATCATCTATGGTTTCTTTCATCAACAGTACTGGTAATACTAATAATAATAGTTCTTCGACTGAAACTATTACCGATATCACCAATACTACTACTAATAATAATAAGAATAAGAATATGAATGGTGTAACGCATAAGACAACAAGACATACAATCTCTTACTTTTCAAATGGTCAAAGAGTTGATAATGATGATTATGAATGTGGTGTCATGAATAAAAATGAAATCAATAACAGTATTAATAGTAATCCAGAATTATCGCATATTAATAGTAACAATACTAATATTGACATGAAGTATGATTCAATTACAAACTTTCACTCCTTACTTAATAATTTACATTGTAATTCAGAAGGAAAAGATAATCTCAAAACAATTGAAACATTGATTGATCCGTTGTCATGGTTATATGCAGCTAGTCATTATTATCATCAACAATACAATAATCAGAATAAACAAATAGGCAATAATTCTTCAAGTGATGAGCTAAATAGTAATATTTCGAATATAGGTAAGATTTTTCGTTGATTATTTATTAATTTTTTTTTTTGGAACTGTACACATTTAAACTGTCAGTGTTCACTTCAAAGTTTATATTAGTAATCTGGCGATTAGTCTGAGTACTAGTGGTGTATCTGTAGAGGACGGGAAGCGATGGAAACTTCTGAATGATTCCAAAACTTCGTCCCTAAGATTATCAGTTTAATGAGTATTTAGTTGTCTGAACTCTTAAAGTTTACAAATCATCAGTAATCAGATTTTTATGTAGCTCATGAGCTATAAAATGGAGTTGCATTTAGTATGAGTTACATAGTATGAAGCTAAGTATCCTTTTGCATGCTTATTCAATAAACTGTAGGAGATCAGAACAATTTTGGACAATTAGCCAGTTTATTTCCCCTGATGGAGATTAGTCAAGAATAACTGAGGTCAGCTGGCATTTGAAGAAGCAAGGGAGTGGTTGTGCACTGCTATAATTTTTATATTCCTCCATTATTGGGTTGGGACGTCTCTAAGAGCAACTTGATCATAAATTTAGATCGGGCTAAACTGAACAATCAGCTAACTACGGCTCAGATCATCATGACAAATGGTCACATGTCAACCATGAGTATGAGCTGTGGACTACAAGAAAACGAGCTCGAAGTCCTTCTAAAAGTTTAACTGGAGTAATTATTCTCCTTAAAGATGATGAATTTTTATTCTTAATAGTACTACTTCGTAGCAACTGGTTATTTAGCCAGATGATGGTCACCATCTACAGGGTGTTGTTTTGCTTTGTTTAGTAGCACACAGAAATTGATTAATATCGGAATCTGTAATATATCACCCATTAAAAGTTAGACCACGAAATGACATCATTTAGAGAACCAGTTAAAGACAAGTGGTTGGATTACGTTATCTAGTGGTTTGAAGGGATTCGATCGGTTTCAAACCGGATTATTAAGGAATCAGTGGAAACCAGGATGTACTAGACAAATAATTCAACCTATTTCCTGAGTCTTTTGCAGAATATCTTAATGATTCAACTACGGGTCGAATCAAGGATCTTCAGGTTACAAGGTGAGTCAGTTAACCATCCAGCTATTGGATTGAAAGTCAATCCAATGCTGAGGATTTCCAAACTAGGATGAAACTGCTGTTCAGTTCTCCACAGCATTCAGTGATTCTCTAAATGAAATCTGTTCGTTATCTAGCTTGAAATCAATCAAATCCGCACAAATCAACACTTGAAAATCTTACCCATTACTTTATACTCAACATAAAGACGAAGAAACAGTCCATTTCGGTGCACTTCAGTCAACATTATAGGAAATAGACATCATTTCAGTGTCATGTGTAACGGAAGTTGCAGCAGATCATTCTTAGTGTGTGATTTAGTGATAAATGGCACTGTAAGCTAACAGCGATTATATTTCAGCTCACTCATCCCACAGTTTATAATCTTCATCGGAGTTTAACTGTTGGTATTAGATGGTTAGAGGCAATCGACAGGAAACCTTCCACCTGGGTTTCATGCTAGTTGGCACTCATAAGCAGACACGCCTTGCTGATGAGTGGACACTAGCAAGGAACCTAGGTGGAAGGCTTCCTGTCGATTACCTCCAACCATCTAATATCAACAATTCACAGTGCACCGTGATGGCAAGCCACCTACTGACATGGTGGCCACATTGCAAACTTGACTGATTATTATGTACTCGTCGCCAAATTATTGTTATGCACTGCTCGAGAATTTAATAGTCCTGACGCAAGAAAGACAGAAATCAGAAGACCACTAGGTTTGCGATGATACTTCTATTTTCCAAACACAAGGAGAATCAATGTCACACAAGTGTGTGAGAGCAAAATATATATATGAATGTCCGAACAAGTGTGTGAACACAAGTGTGTGAGTGAATATTCAAAATGAACAAATCAATAGACAGTCTTAACATGATTGGCTAATTATAATGGAATATCGATCCATATATACATAGCAAAATATACAGACTGTCAAACAAATACACATATTATATGGATATATATCACTGATAGAATTCAGTCTACACTGAAGATAGGACTAGACACATCACACTAGATGCTGACTAGTGTCCAATCAAAGGTTTAACTGTTTCAGAAAGCAATCAAAGTTCAACAAAATTTGTTAAATTACGCAAAACTTTTGGATTTATTTTTCATATTTGAGCGTTTACTCGATGGCTGAAAATATTTCAATGTGTTTACCCTATGTAGTACTACTTAGAATTGAATCATTCAAAGTAGTATATATTGTGTATCAATTTGTTTTAACCACTTAAAATGACATTTATATTATTAATCGTATCCCATATTATGCATTAGTGGTTCAGTGGTTTATGCAGGAGGTCCTGGTACAGTTTAAGACCGATGAACTTATTAACCTTGTCTGCATGGTGTAGTAATACTGCAAAAGAGACAGTGTTGGTCGGCATCAAGTTAGCAGCATCACAACTGCTGCTGAAATTCCAACGTTTGAATAATTATGTTTCATTCAGGATGCAAAACACAACAGAAGAATATCTCGCATTACAATGATAAACATATTTGCAATGTTGTTCACAAAATTGGGGCAGAATTTTAAATTATACTGTGATACTTTTTCTAAATGACTTCACTTCCTTGACCCATTTATTAATGAAGTTAGAGTATTATAGCCAAAGTCAAGGTCTTTCGAAAGTTGACCTTTGAGGACCAATCAGATATAGGGAATGCTATGAAAAGTCATTCCTAATTAAATCATGCCTGCCTCTTTGAACTTGGAGAAGGTAGATGACACAGTATTCTACTTATTTGCTAGGTACTTTTTTGTGAATCTATACTGTTAGGTACGGTTATGGTTTTTAGATTAAGATTAAGGGTTAGGGTCTAGGGTTCAGGGTTAAAGTTAGGATTAGGAGTTAAGATTATGGTTAGAATTAAGAGTAGGTTAAAGGACAGTGGCAGAAATATCAATAGATCTCAAAGTACCATTGTCTACAGTTATCTAGATGAATACACATATCGCGCATGATATGATTTCTCTAAAAATCATCTGTGTGGTGACTTAGAGACATTATTACATCACATAAGCGACAACTAGATAGTGTAATATTATGTTTGCAATGTTTTTTAATGAATTTTTCAACGATTATACAAATTTTTGCCTATGAATTCTGATTGGTTGTTCAAAGTCGCTGTGATTTTGACCAGGACAGTTTAACTTTGCCCATTTAATTATACATGGATGGATGTCATGTCTCACACTGAGTGAATATATATATATATATATATATATATATATATATATATATATTTGACCACGGATTGATATCAGTTAGAGAACCATCGAAAACCAGCACTGAAGTAGTGCCAGACAGCTGTTTCATCAGCCTAATTTGAGAATCATCGGCAGTATACACCCACTGCCGGGCCTCGAACCCAGGATCTTCCGGTTACAAGGCCAGCCAACTCGTATACCATTCAGCCACTGCGACCGGATTCAATGGTGGCTTGCTACAGGACGGAGTTTCCTGGAGTTCTAATGAGAAGTCGTGACCAGTGAGGTCCAACCAGTCAAGTGGGAGGATGGATATCCCCCCCTTCCCCAATGACATTGGTTGTTGGTCGCACTGAATCAAAGTTAGAATTCATGGACTGGCTGGCCGTTTTTTGGAGTCGGGTCCCAGTGATGGCTTTCAGTGCTGGTTTTCAATGGTTCTCTAACTGATATCAATCCGTGGTTAAACTCGTTAAAACAAATCTAATACTTCCAAACCAACTCTTGACATATATATACGTCAGTCACACTTCAATTCGTTCTATCACACTTACATATATACATGTATTTATCTAAGCTTTATAATTCAAAGTATTTTTTTAAAGTAAATATACCATAGTGGCAGAAGTGAATATGTGTGTGGTAAATGAGTGAGTTGTAAGCGTACACAACATAGACAAGTAAATCCCATGATATGTGATGTATGATGATGTGTAGAGTATTTTCAAAGCTTTTGGAAGAGATAGATAGATAGATAGGTTCTATCTACTTGATATCCCGCATACTATAATTAGTATTCTCTCTATACAGGTGTAGGCAGTAAACTATATATTCAACTTTGGTATAAGGTTTCTAATGTTATTAATAATGCCAATACTATTATTTTTTGATAATTAGTAGCATTTATGTGTTGTATTATGATTGTGATGGTATCATGATATGTGTATACACATATACATACGTATACATAAATTTTATTTTTATCCATGAATTTACCTAATTTTAAGTCAATAATTGTTGAGCGTAGGCGTACATGCTTTATTGTGCATCAATGAGTCTTATGTATGTGTGTATAATTAAAATTGTGAGTAAACGATTGTGAATGAAGGCAAAGAGAGAGGGGGGAGAGAGAGAAAGGTGTATAGGACGACAAAAGTAATTTCCCAAATCAACATGTGAATGAACATCAAAAGATGTGTGAGTGTATTATCGTATAATGTAAAGTAATCTTCCGTAACCATGTTAACATGTAGTATAGTAGTATATGTATACCCTATCTCACCCCCAAATTTATCTGAATTTATATTCCATACAATTTTTGTTTTGGAGGTTTTATGTTTTTGCCTGTATATTTAACTACTTAATCTTGTTGCATTTAAAAAAAATAAACTACTGTGTAGTTAGTTGGTTAGTCAGTGGGGTGGGAGGTGTGTCTGATAAATGAATGAATGAATGACAGATTAATGTTTAAAAAAACAAACAAACGAAGAAACGAACAAACAAAGGCACATATATGTTATATTCGACATGTAAGAAGAGTTAGATCTCGTATTCAAACTTAATTACAGACACCATATTGTAGTATAGTGTATTGTAGTGTTGTGTTGTATATCTGTTTGTCTATACTTAGATTCACATAGTAGATGTATGTTATTTTATACAATTGACGTTGAAATATTATTTAAGCCATGATATTCAATGTTTTCAACGGAAGCAAGTCATACAATGGTAGT